GGGTTACCTTGGGGACCAGGGAGGATGACGGATGCCTGGGAAACACGGTGAAACCAGAAAGCACTCCCCACACCCAAACCTATGTGTCTCTCTCTCTCTCTCTCTCTCTCTCTCTCTCTCTCCCTCCCTCCCTCCCTCCCTCCCTCCCTCCCTCCCTCCCTCCCTCTCTCCCTCCTCCCTCCCTCTCTCTCTCTCTCTCTCTCTCTCTCTCTCTCTCTCTCTCTCTCTCTCTCTCTCTCTCTCTCTCGTTTACCCTGGAAGCAGCCCACAGGTGCTGCCACGCCCTTCCACACGGAGGTGCCAGCGGGAGGAGGAGGTGGCATGAGTTATACATATGCTGGCACCCACGTTCCTTAAATTCCTGATGGGTGAAGTCAGAGTAAGCTCCACAGGCGGGGCGGTGTTTCTCCCCTCACTTCCCCCCCATCAACCAAGTGTGTTAACTCACGCCTGGCATTGATTTTCACTGAGGATGCATTAGGCACTGCTCGATGCCCATTAGTGCTCATTGACCTCTATGATAAGAGAAGAAAATTATTTTTGAGGCGAGTAGGAAGCCGTCCCCATCTCTCCCTCCCTGACCTAAAAAAAAAAATTTTTTTTGTAAATTAACTGCCGGTTTTCCTCAGCAACTGCATTTGGAGCAGGTCATTTTAATTTTGAGGTATCTTGCTTTCAGATGTCTGTTCTCTTCTGCGTGCCTGTGTGTGTGTGTGTGTGTGTGTGTGTGTGTGTAGCTTTGTATTATTCAGATGAATATTCAGTGTTGTTCATTTGAATAACAGAGAGAAAAGGATTGGACTGTTAAATGCTTATCTCTTAAATAGAGCTTACTGTTAGCTTCATTCAGGGCAGTGATGTAGAATTTCGTTTTGAAAAGCTCCCTACCAGCTGGTACCCTCCCTGAGCAGTTGGGGTACCAGTTGGCAGGAGTGGGGATGGTCACGGGGACCCCCAGAGGGCCCGGGTGGAGTGTGAGAGCAGGATGTGCCCACGTGCCCCCTGCTCCCTCTGCCCCGTTCCTCCTGCTCCTGTCAGAGGCCCGGAGCCGTGAGGGGAGTCTCCAGGGGCACGTGGCTTATGCATTTCTCCTACCTGGCGGCTACGCCCCAGCCTCACCGGCTTTCCCACGCCCCATTTCAGAGTCTCTGGGGGGCTCTCTTGTGGGGAAACGGGAGGGAAATGACGAGTCCTCCCTGCCCGTTGTCGGGAAGGCTCCCCAGCATGTTGCTCAGAGGACCACGATGCCTTGAGGACATGATGCTGAGTGAAACAGGCCAGCGGCGGGAAGACACATCCTGTGGGTCCCACTCACCTGAGGTGCCCAGAATAGTCAAATCCATAGAAACAGGCAGCAGAGCAGAGGTCACCGGGGACCAAGGGGAAGAGGAATGGGAAGTTATACTTAATGGGGATGGATTCGGTGTGGGCTGGTGGAAAAGTTCTGGAAATGGGTGTTGGTGATGGCTGCACAATAGCAAACTAAACTGTACACTTAAAATGGGGGGGGGGGGAGATAGTGAATTTTATTATATATATTTCACCCAATGGAAAATTTTTCAAAAAATAAGGCATTGATGCCAAAAAGGGATATTTTTCCCTACCTACCACTCGACCCCTCCCAAATTCCTAACCTCATTGTTTTGTCCCTCACACCTCGGTTTAATTTATTTGGGAGGGTGTTCATCACTGGGCAACTGTTTGATTGTAAGTGATAAGGCATCTGTGAGGTAAAAAACGATTATATGTTAAGGAGCAACCTTTATTGATCATTGTTTCTGTGCTTTCTCCAAATGAATAAATAAGTAATTTAGACATAATCAAGTTTGCTTTCTCTGTTTGGGCCAAACAGAGACAGGATGTTAAAATGATAGAGATCTTTAAAATACTGCCCGGGAGCCCCGACATCACCGGATTGGTGGGCGTCCAAGGCGCTCTCCTTTCATCAGGAAAATCAGTTTCGTGATCCTTGAACTTTGAACCTGTGGGCTTAGGGAAGGGACCAGAGGAAGAATATCCAAGTCAGAATTTGAAGCGATACCCTGAGTCCTGCCCCCGCCTTCCCGGTGCACAGTCTGCATTCTAATTCCTGGCTCCTGGCTCCCACGCCTCTTCCTGTCCCCAGGCGCTGGCACTGAGGGGAAGTTGGGGCAGTAGGGATCTTGAATGGGGTTGGGCCTGGAGTTGGGGCGGTGATTTGTTTGCACAGCGGGCCAGGAAGACGTGGGTCGCAGCAAAAAAAAGTTACTTGCGTGGCAGTGAATTCAGCTCCTGACCCCTGTAGCGACCTGCCTTACCAAGGGTCAAGGTCATGTGCTCGGCAGCAGATGGCTTTCAACCAGGCTGTCCTCCGGCTCCTGGAAGGGCACCTTGGCCTACATGGACTTCATGCTCCTTCCCGATGGCACGATGCTTTTGGTCCATCCATCCACATCCTCCTGCCTTCTACCCAGATCGAGTAACTGGCCTGGAGCAGGGAGCTCATGGGTGACCCGCCTGCATGGGGGTGACAGAAGCCTGTCACCTTGCTGCTTTGGTTTCCAGTGGCCGCCGCCACAAATCAACACCAACTCGGTGGCTTAAAACAACAAAAATGTATTTTCTCACAGTTCTGGAGACCGGGACTCTGAAGTCAAGGTGTTAGCCGAGCCACACTGCCCCCGAAGGTTCTGGAGGAGAACTCCCTTGCCTCCCCCAATTCCTGGTGGCTCAGGCTTTCTTTGGCTTGTGGCTGCATCACTCCAATCTCTGCTCCACGCTGCCTCTCCAGTCTGCTCTCCTTTCTCTTAAAAGAACACCTGTCCATTGGCTTTAGGACCCACCTTAATCTTTAACATGTTAAGCGCCACGTCAGTCACCAGTGACTGACACTATACTTTCCGTCCGGACCGGTCAGTCACTGGTGCCACCAGCATATCGGTGAAATCGAATATCGCAGGCTAAACGGAAAGGAAGACAAAACAGGCTTGGCGCTTAATGTGTTAAGTAAGACCCTTAATTACATTTTCTTTTCTTTTTTCTTTTCTTTTTTTAAAATACAATATATTTTATTGATTTTGTACAGAGAAGGAGGGAGAGAGATAGTTAGAAACATCAATTAAGAGAGAGTCATCGATCAGCTGCCTCTTACACACCCCCTACTGGGGATATGCCCGCAACCAAGGTACATGCCCTTGACCGGAATCGAACCTGGGTCCCTTCAGTCCCCAAGCCAACTCTCTATCCATTGAGCCAAACCGGTTTCGGCCTTAATTATATTTTCAAAAACGCTTTTTTCCAAATAAGATCACGTTTGTAGGTTCCAGGAGTTAGGACGTGGATATATTGGGGAAGGGGGTGCACTATTCAACCCGTTGCACTAGTCCTAACTGACAGACACTGGTCTGCCCTGGCTTGCATAGGCACTCACAGGTTGCCGGGGTTTGGGTCCAGGCTAGAGGAAATCGAGACCCGGAGTGACCCACCCCCAGGCCAGAAGTGAGGGTGTGAGGGAGGAGGAGGCCTGTGTAGAGAAGGCGCTCTCCATGAGTGGGAACCTCGGACGTGTGCCTTTTCGGGGGCGGGGAATTGTCTTGTTGATCTCGGGCTCCTCCACCCGCAGGCTCGTGTTCAGCCAGGTTCACGTCTCCGGAGAGGAGAGTGTCTTCCTGTGTCCGAGCTGCTTTTACAAAGTGCATCAGACAGGGAGGCTTGTGCACCCCAGAAGTGCGGTTCTCATGGTTCTGGAGGCTGGCAGGCCACGATTGGGGTGCCAGCACGGTCGAGTTTTGGTGAAGGCTTGCTTCCTGATTACAAACAGCCATCTCCTGGGCGTCTTCTCCCGCGGCAGAGAGCAGAGGGAGGGGAAGCCAGCTCCCTCCTGTCTTTTCTCCGGGCACTCGTCCGTTCACCAGGGCTCTCCCACGGTGCCCTGAATGTCTCCTAAAGGCCTCAATACCTCCACACCGGGGGTTACGGTTTCAGCCTAAGAACTTGCAGGAAGGGGACGCAGACATTCAGCCCATAGCAGAGAGCCCTGAAGATCCTGACTTGGGTTGTGGCTCAAGGCGTAGGACCCAGTGTCCAGTCTCACCACCATAATCCGCAGGTGCAGGACTCTAGGCCGAGGTGACACGTAGGTTGGAAGCCAGAGCCCAGTCAGAACTGGAACCCAGGCCTCCTGCCTCCCCATCAGGGTCTGTCTGCTCTGCCTGTTGGTACTGACACTGCAGCTGCGTTTCATCGAGGTGGGGTGCCATCCTGCAAGCAGGTCCATGTGTTAGAGCAGCGCCTGCCCGCAGGGTCACAGATGGGGCCGCCTGCTGGAGACCCTGTCGGGGGCAGGAAGAGAAGAAAGCGAGGGGCAGGAGGGTAGCAAGAGGAGCTCGGGATGCTGAGCGGAGGTTGCCTGCCAACATCCTCCAGTACGGCTGGTCTAGCAAAGGCGGTCTCCAGCCGAGTACATGCCATGGCTAGCCGACAGGCTGACAGCAGGCATCAAACGGTCTTAAACTGCCCCAAACCTGTAGCGCGTTTGAAGCGGCAGTCGAGAAAGGATGCCTGCGCAGAACAGAGGCCTGAAACTTTTAATAGTTTCTTCCAGGCCTCAGGATGTCCTGATGAGGTATTAGAGGAAGTAATTCAGGAAGAAAAGGACAAATAACCGTCTCCGTCTGGAGGCCGACCGGAGGGCTGGCCACTCCAGCAGAAAGGGCAAGCGTGGCCCCCGGGTGAGCCCGCCGCCGCCGGGGGCTGCCCACCACCTTGCAACTGACAGACAGGAAAAGGTCCTGTTTGCTCGGGGACAAATGGAAGCCACCCAGCGCCCGCCGCACGTGGGGGAAATCATTGACTTGTCCTCACTGTCGCGAGGGCACCAATTAGAAATCGTGTCCTCAACCAGGGATCTGCACGCCCGGCTCCTGTGGCCACTGTGGGACAGACAAGAGAAAACGCGTGGGCGGCCAGACCTGAACTCACCCTCCCTCTTTTTTTTGTCTCTGTCTCCCCTTTTCCTTTAGGGTTTGGCTTTGTCACTTTTGAGAATGAAGACGTTGTGGAGAAGGTCTGTGAGATTCATTTCCATGAAATCAATAATAAAATGGTAAGTTTACAGGGGTCACGCTGAAAGGCGATGCCTCCCTGCCCCCATCTACACGCCGTGTCACGCAGACCGCCCCAGCGGGGTCACCATGCTGCAGGTTGGGCAGGGTGGGCAAGGAGGCTGGACTCCAGGGGGTCAGCCCTGCCAACAGCAGGAGTTCGGGGCCATATAGCTTTACAGGCCACACAGCCGGCTGTCACAGCTGTTGTGATGTCGTAGCGCGAAGGCATCCATGAACGAGCGGGACACGGACGATGAAATCTCATGTCATTCTCGTGTGTCACAAATATTTGTTTTTACCATTTAAAAATGGAAAACCTGTCCTTAACGCAGCTGTACAAAAGCTGGCAGAGGGCAGATGTGGTCGGCAGGTTGTAGTTCACCAGATCCCAGGCTTAGGGTATGTGTTTGCTGTTTAGGTTGGCAATTAGAGGGGTTGGGGCGATGGGGGTGCAGTATATCCTAGGTTAGTGGTCAGCAAACCGCAGCTTGTGAGCCACATGCGGCTCTTTGGTCCCTTGAGTGTGGCTCTTCCACAAAATACTACGGCTTGGGCGAGTCTATTTTGAAGAAGTGGCATTAGAAGAAGTTTAAGTTTTAAAAAATGTGGCTCTCAAAAGAAAGTTCTGTTGATATTTGTACTATTGATAATTGGCTCTGTTGACTAGTGAGTTTACCGACGACTGTCCTAGGTATGTTGGTTACCACCATTATGTCTCTTTGCTGGATAACTACCATTTTTCTCCCTCCGATCAATTAATTTCATTGTCATGATCAGCTGCTTCTGCCCCTCCCTTTTGCACTCTGAAGCTCCTTTTCCTGGGGGTGGCTCCTCAAGGAGAGGAAGGTTGAATCATTGGAAGTTTGGGGAACTGGGTCGGCCTCCCAGAGACATGGCCACCAGAGGGCGCCGCACCATGTGCAGAATGTGCGCACTGGCTGCTTCCTTCTCAAACTCCTGTCTTCCGGTTTGAGTAGGTTGGTGAAAAAGCCCTTGGTTGTTGGTTGCAGAGCAATGGGAGCTCAGCAAGTCCCTCAGAGCCAAAACATTCTGGTTGGCCAGCAGGGCCTCAGGTCCAAGAGAAGGAGGGCAAATTTATGTCTCAATCGCAGCTGTAACTTCAGTATTATTTTTCTTCTTTCCTTTAGTCAGAACATTCGTTGCTTCGGAAACATGCATTGTTTGAAGCCCAAACTATTCATTGTATATGGTCTGATATGTGTTCCCTGACTTTAAATTCAATAATGGGGCTTTTAGAGTGGATAAGATCAAAGCAATCTGCTTAGCATGTGGTGCTACAGGCCTGATTCAATATTTGACTTGCTAATTTTTTCCCAGGGCACTACAATAATATTGTTGGTATTGTTCCTAGCCATCGTATGATCTGAAATGAAAATACCGTTTCTCTGCATGCTATAGATTAGAGGTGTCAGCTCAGGCGTTAAAATGGTAAAGGGGAGATAAGAGTGTGGGGCTAACAGGTGCCCTCCCTGGCTTTCCTGCCCTCGGAAGCCGGTGCCTTCCAGCCGGTCCCTCTCTCTTTCCGTAGGTTCCTACTTGCAATTCTTAAAACTAGAGAGACGAGGGCTTAAAGGGAAACATGCCTGCGGGCCCAGGTACATGTTTGCCCCAGCCTGGTGTGGGTGACGGACTAGCAGGCACGGCCGAGAGCGCTGGCAGGCACATTCCCACCTGCTAGGACTGACCGCTTCACCAGGAAGGCACAGGTCAGCCGGCCAGGAACCACACTGAGTGCTGCCTCCAACGCATAGGTGTGGCCTTCACCGCTGCTGGCTCTGAGGGAACCTGAGGCGCGTGGGGAAGGGCTTTATGCTTTCCACTGTTCCAGGGGGGAAACTCGGCCCAGGGGATACGCCTCAGGGCTGCGCAGGCAGTAAAGGAACATGGGTCTTGAGCTTATTGGCTCTCGGATGACCCCAGACAGACAGTTGTTTGAGCTTCGGGTGGGAGGGTGAACCCCCAGATGATTAGGGGGCGATCAGAAAGTAGAGTTTCAGCTCCAGCAGGGTAAAGCCAGAGAGGTTTGTAGCCATTGACCCCAGTCATTTGACAGGTGTCCCTTCTTTCCACCCAGGTCGAGGCTGACGATGGCAGGTGCAGATAGCTGTTTACAGCGCTAGGGCAGTGGTCGGCAAACTCATTAGTAACAGAGCCAAATATCAGCAGTACAACGATTGAAATTTCTTTGGAGAGCCACATTTTTAAAACTTAAGCTTCCTCTAACGCCACTTCTTCAAAATAAACTCGCCCAGGGCGTGGTATTTTGTGGAAGAGCCACACGCAAGGGGCCAAAGAGCCGCATGTGGCTCGAGAGCCGCCGTTGGCCGGCCACGGCGCTAGGGTTTCTGTCTTTTTGAATCTGGGCTGCTACCTGTTACTTAAGACAATAAGCAGAAGTGGAAGTAAATGAGAGGAGAGCGTGAGGTGCAGTGGGTGGGGTCACAGACAAGCTTTGAAGGTGTCCCTGCAGGCGCCCGCCCCGCCCTTTCCGGCTCTCAGGGAGTTAAGCCGCTGGCGAGGGCGTTGGTAGGTCGCCTCCCTGAACTCCAGTGTAAGGGCCTGTGATGTCCCCTCATGGGGTGGCGGGGCCCCTCCTCTGAAGGGCACTGGGAGCTGAGTCCTGAATCGCTGTGGATTCTGTGATACTGGTTTGTGCTTCCGAGGCCTAAGGAAGAGGAGATGAATTTAAATGGTGCAACGGACAGAATTCAAATGAGAGATGGAAAGACTTGGAGACCTCAGAGACTGCTAAGCAGAAACCCCGCCGGTCAGACTGTCCGGGGCGTGTTCTGTAAACCGGGCTGTGCTGGGGGTCCTGGGCCCTGGGCTCCTCTGCCAGGCACAGAGACGAAGGGCTTGCTGCTGGTCAGGCACAGTCAGGACCCGCCTCCAGGCCTGCGGTTAACCAGAGCTCCCGTGCCCTGGCCCTCGGGGTCCTGTACGGATAATTATGGGAGAAATGAGCTCAGAGGGGACCATGTGACCGTGAGGCTCATCATCATTTTCAGAGCCATTTCCTATCTAATCTGGTTGTCGAGTCTCCTGGGCATTTTTAAAAAATGAGGGCCCTTCTCCGCCATCCTGGAGAGCCAGCAGCAGGCGGGAGTGCTTGTCAGGAAGCTGGGAGCACAGAGCTCTGTCTCCCGCCCCATAGAGGCCCTGGCTGAAGGAGGTCACCACCAGGGTGGTGGCAGGGGGTGGCCAAGAAGACCCCACATGGCACCTCCCACTAAGACCCCGTGAATAGCTGACATTTTCGATGCTAAACTACACGCCCTGCTGAGCGCTTGCTCTCTGCGCCTCTTCTCATTGGCTTATCACACACCCACTGTGGTGCAGGTGCTCATTGCCTCCCCATCTTACTGGTGGGCAAGGTGAGGCAGAGAGAGAAGCTCGGCAACTTGCCCAGGGCCACAGCGTCCATCATTGGCAGCACCAGATTTCAAGCGCCAAGAGCTAAGCCCAGAGCTCACATCTGTACCCAATAGGCTCTCCGCCTCCAGGCTGACGGGGACGTCAGAGGTCACCCAGGGGGACTACACCTCCCCAGGCCACTGGCTGCCCCGACAGCCACGTTGCTGCCCAGGCGGCTCCATGTTTTCCTAAGAAAGGGCAAAGAGATGGGCTCACTGGGCCCAATTCCTCTCTGGGGAGAAGGGCTAAGCTTGGGGGATAAGCAATCCCTGTCAGCCACGATGGATCTCCAGGCAGGTGAGGGAGGGGCCTGCCGAGCAGCTGGCCACCACCCCAGCTCAGGGCCAACCCCCAAGTGATGATGGCCCCTTACTCAGCCCCTCCCTCTGTCTTGGCACAGGTCAGAGTGAAGCACAAACACAGCCCCTTCTCAGTACACACACACACACACACACACACACACACACGCGCGCGCGCGCGCACACGCGCGCACGCACACACACGCACACGCACACCATGCTCGCACATGCACAGCCACATGGTGTCCCTCGGGGAGGAACACCTCAGACCACTCTGCAAGCCCGGGCGCGGGAGCAGCTAATAAGGCCTCCCGCCGCGGCCCTGATTGAAGCCGCCTCCGAGCAGCAGGGACACTGGCTTGATTAGTGCCAGCGCAGCCTCCCAGGCCTCCTGGCGAGCCGCAGGCCAGCCAGCGCGAGGCGGCAGCGCAGGGCGGGGGGCGGGGTCCGCACAGACCCGCTCCGGGCTTCCCCAGAGGCCTGGCTCAGTCCCTGCCTCAATGGAGTCCGGGAGGCAACACCAGCCTCGCTGGTGAGAACTTGGGGTCAGTTGGAAAGGTGCCCGGGCACCTGGAGTGCCTGTTCCCACACCTGACTCAGCTGGCGGCATTGGTATTTCCCGGGCACTGTGATGGAGCTTTGTACTGTGCACACGCGTCTCCTTTCGTGCTGACGTAGGGGTCATTGTCCCCTCTTTTAGGTGGGACTTGAGCTCAGAGCGGTGGAGGGACTTCCACAGCCCACGGTTCTCGGTGGCAGAACTGGGATTTGAACCTGTGTCTTTCTGGCTCCAACCCTGTGCTCACACTGCACCCTTCTGCCAACATAGGCAAACCTCAGAACTGAAAAATCAGGATCGGTTTGACCGGTGGAGGCAAAGCTTTGCTTTTACACGGTTTACCATAGGGTGCTTTTAAATGGTCCTGCTGCTTGTTCCTTTAAGGTGATCTGATTTATGAAAATTGCTAAGCAGTTTGCAAGCTGGTTAGAAACACAGTCTCACACTCCTTCCCCACCCCCTACCCCCTACCCCCAGCCTACTGAATTAAAACCTGTGTTTTGACATACTCAGTGATCTGTGCACACATTTAAGTCTCAGAAGCATGGGACAAGGACCACGGCTAGCAAGAGATAAAATAGTAATTCGGGTCACAATGGTCACCAGAGTCAGGAAGGGATCCGGGATGAGGGGAGTGAAGCCCTGAGAGCAGGGAGCCAATGGCCCGCCTGTCACGTGAAGGCCAGCACCACCCACCATCCCCTGT